TGTGTGAAATTTAGGAGAAAAAATAGGAAAAAAAACGTCCGATTTTTTTTGTGGGGGGGGGCATGGCAAAGGTTCCCAGGATCATCACCGTGTGGAAGCTGCGATCTGATTCTTCCTTGCTGATCTAACGTAAGAAATCAAGGGACATTGCTTGTAGGACGAATTCGAACGCCTTCTCTGGGGGTAAGAGTAGATGGTTTATTTTATGCTTCACTTCTGCTAAGGACGTTTTTGGGGCTGACTGATTTAGTCAGAAGCGGTGTGTTTGTCCGGTAAATGACGTCGCTTTTATCGACAGAACCCTACACGGTCTTGTATGTGGACTTTTTGCCCTGGCTGTTTGTCCGCTGCACATTGAAGTAGAGTCGACTTTGGCAGATCGGTATACCCTGAACGAAGATGACCTGGAAAAAGGTTGAAACTGATTTCAGTCTTCTGCAACCCCCTTTTTCCGCGCTTTTTGTGTGTGCTAGGTAGCCGCTGCTTTTTGTACGTTGATTTGTGTTAACGCTTTTCGGCCTTTGCATAGTCTAAATGACGAGGTTGTGTTTGAAGCACACTGGCTCTTCCCGCGGTAACCCTTTTTTCGCACATACTTAGCTGCTTTTTATGCTGCAAAAAGAAAACTTTCTGTTACAGTTAAGTTCCAAAACTCGTTTCTTTTTCCCCCAGTCCTCTTTCCAGTTTTGTCTGTTTCTTAGACCTACCTCTTTTTTTCTTTGCTAAGTACCCGCCCACCAGTCGCCTTTAAGATATCCAAAAATGTCATCCGGCAACTGTTGCGGTCTTTACGCCAGCCGGCGCATGACCGTGGCATCCGACTGCATGGACGCATATAATCTTTTTCCCCCGCAAGTTCTTTTTGCTGTAGGCACACTTTACTCTTATTTTTGGCATAAGAGGAACGTCTATACCCACACAGGGCTGAACAGCGGAGTAGGTCAGGTCGGAGTACCTTGTGGAGAGGATAGTTTGACCCTCGATTTCGATGATGTCCAGCATATGCCCAAGAGCAGGGATAGTGACTGGATTATTAATGAGGTTTGGCAGATTTGGTTAATTTATTTAATCCAATTGTGAAAAAACTCGAGGCGTTCGGCTGGATTTGAACCCACGTAGTAGAGAAGGCCTTTACCGAAAGCCAACGCTCAAACGTCGCATCTCGCGGGTCGATTTTACCCGCCCAACTTTACCGCCCGTATGGAACCCACCAATACAGAAGGCAAAGAGGATTTCCTAAGGAATCATCTAGAATCCA